TCCATGGCATTCCAGTTCATCCATCTCCTCAGTTCCTGTGACCTATAGTTTTATTCTACATTAGTCACCCATAGGAATTATAATACCATAGACCTCACCATCACTTATAAATGTGCCACCTTCTTGATTTTGAACTAAGACGTTTCTCTCTCTGATCCCAATCTTTTATCCTTCTACCCAATTCCTGCTTTGGTGTAGTTTTCCTCCCTTCTAATTCTTGACCCTCTCATTGCCCAGTTGTACTGTATATTCTCCTCCATCCTTGATTCCCTTGTCCCCACCACCATTCCCTTCCTGCCAATAATCAACTCCAAATCACCCCGCCATTTGACCTCTTCAGTTGTACACTCAACCTACTGAATGCGTTTTGGCATTTAAAACTTTCACAATTTGGCCCCTTCCTACTTTTTCATTCTTCTTACACGTCATTACCCTCCTCCATGCATTGTACCTTGTATAGCTATGCTAGCTTACTTGCTGTCCCTTGTATAAGACATTCCTTCTCTTATCTCTAAGCCTTCTGTCACCCCACCTATGTGGTAGTGCTTTCTCTCCTGGAATGACTTTGTATTCTTACAGTATATTTTGTATTTACATATCTGTATGCATATCATTCCTTCTAGTAGAATGTAAGCTCCTGGAGGGCAGGGAGTATTTAATTTGGGTTTTTATATCCACAGCATCCACCTTGTAATTGGATCATAGTAAGAACTAAATGAATGCTTTTTAAATTGAATATTCACCAGCTGGATCCAAGCGTTTGTATTGCTGACTCTTTAAGACATTTCTATTATAAGCATATCCTTTGAGATCACCTTTTTTTTTTAAAATAAGAAAGTTTATGTACAAAGAATTTGACTTCCTCAGGTGATTGTGGTTTGTCACTTGAGTGTTCATATTATGCTAGGGGCTTTTTTGCATAGTACATACATGGTTACTTCTGTCTCAGAGCAGACATTCTAAAGTGGTATGAGACTTTCCATGCATCATATGTTCACATACAACATTTTTCATTTTTTGGAAGTTATGTAAGTACAAAGGGCCTATTTTATTTTCTCTGCAGTAATTCATGCCACTCTATAAGAAGGAAAGCAGCTATCCTACTCTATTCATACCGTCCTTCATGATTCAGGGGACATATACACAATGATCATTATTTCTGTGTGGACATATCTGAAAAGATCGATGTGTAACCAACAGTTCTTTCCAACCCATGTTCCACACGTATAAATGATTGATGTTGGATTTGGTCTTAGAACCATCTTGGTGCACTCTCGCATTCTCTCTCTCTCTGTGTCTCTCTGTCTCTCTCTCTGCCTCTCTCTCTCTGTTTCTATCTCTCTCACACACATACACACATACCCCTACTTTCTTAATCTTTAGATGTTTTTGCCATCATTTGGCAGCAAAAACTAGTCAATCAGTAAGCATTTATAAGGTGCCTACTACATGCCTGGCACTGGTAATTTCTAGGGATACAAAGGTAAGAATGATACAGTCCTGCCCTCAAGGAGTTTGGATTCTAGTATGTATAAATAAGTTTATGCGAAGTAAATGTATGTGGTAGAGCGCTAGTGGCTGAGGGCATCACAAGGGCCTTACATGACTATGGTATAGAATTTTGAAGGAGACCAAGGGAGTCTAAGAGACTGAGAAGGAGTTCATTCCAGGCATGGGGGCAGCAAGTGCAGAGGAGCAGTGACAGGAGCCTCAAGGAATACATGAGGAATAGCAAGGTCACTTTTTCTGGCCTGTACAGTGTGGAACGGGGGATAATGTATGAGAAGCCTGGAAAGGTATGTTGGGACCAGGTTATGAAAGGCTTTAAAAACCAAACAAAGGAGCTTATATTTAATACGAAGGGCAATAGGAATCCCCCCAGTAGGAGAGTGACTTGGTCAGTTTCACTTTAAGAAATCAGTGTGGAAAATTATGGTGAATGGATTGGAGAGGGGAAAGACTTAAGTCAGAGAGAGCTATTAGCAGGTAATTTCAATAGTCTAGGTGAGATGTTCAACAGGCGTGAACCACAGTGATGGCCATGTGATTAGAGAGAAGGGGATGGATTCAAGAGATGTTGTGGAGGTAGAAACATCAAGATTTGGAAATTTGTTGGAGACTGAGGTTGAGACAGGTTGAGGGAACATGAAAAATCAAGTATAATGCAAAGAGCACAGATCTAGTTTACTAAAATAATAAATAGTGCTGTCAAGGGAAATTAGGAAGTTTGGACAAAGGGTGTCTTTTTGGGAAAAGATACTGAGTTCAGGTTCGGACATGTTGAGTTTGAGGTGCCCATGGGACATTCAGTTGGAAATGTCCAGTAAGTGGTTGGTATTATGGGTCTGGGTTCGGGAGAGAGATTTGGGCTGACTATATAGATCAGGGTGTAATCTGTTAGAGATGGTAATTGAACCAATGGAAGCTGATTAGGTCACCTAGTGAGTATAGACTGAGAAGAGGGCTCAGGTCAGAGCCTTGGGTGACACCCACAGTTGGGATATGTGAAATGGATGTTTAGCCAGCAAAAGTGACTTAGAAGAAGTAGTCGGACAGGTAGGAGGAAAACCTGCTGAAATGCTACCCACTGTCACTGAAATGATTGTATTTTGAAAATGTTCCCATGTTTGTTTGCTTTTGGACAAAAAAGGGACTTTGCACATGGGCAACTGTAGAAGCTGTTGGCATAGATAGCTCCTGGAAGGCTTAGAAGTGGCCACCCTTTGCATTCTCTGTCCTGTTACTTGATGTTTTCAGTCACTGAGATCCAGGGTGCCTGTATCAATGGGCCAGTGCGAGGAGCACAATGGAACCATCACCGCTATGAACCACGTAGATCTTTTCTGATGGCCAGGTGGCCATTAGAACACAACTTTCCAGGTGACAACATCTTGGTGTGGTCCTGAGCACAGCATCTGTAGATGCTTTACATTTTCCAGGTCAGGGTGACATCTGGTTGGTTTATTGGATGATGGCGATGTTTTTCATTCGAACTTAGTCCTTCCTGTATGCTGTTTCTTTGGTAACAAGAGTGACAGTCCAAGGCTCAATCTTCTCCACATCCCTGGGGCATGTCCTGTACGTGGAAGGAGCCCACTATCAGCGAAAGGATTGTATTCTGAAAACCAGGACTTCTTGTTTTGGTAGGCATTTTGCTAAAATAAACAGCTCTGTATGCCTTTATGTCAGTTTGAAATTAAAAGCACGTCCCCTTCCCCCTAAGGCTCCTTCAAAAGCATTAATTTTTAATGCACAAAAATTTATGAAAGTTTGTTTTGGTAACTTTTTTATGCTAAGTTAAGCAGCATTGTTTATAAATATTGTAATGCAGAGACAATTTTATGGAAGAAGCTCTTATGGAGAAATTACATTTAGTATTAGAACTAAGCAGATTTCTTCAGCTCTTGACATGCCACAATATTCTATTCATACTTGAATATTGTATAGCAGTTTACTAGGACTGAACTGGACTCCTATGGTTTTCTTGGAATTCAGAAATCTTCATTTTATCATTAATATCTCACAAAAGTTTTTGCCAGTGGGAGGTACTTTGAGGTTGTACTGCCTCTGATGTTGTGTACAGCCATGGCCTGATTGGACCAAAATGCAAAATCCACTGGCTTCAGTGATTGCAGCTCAATTCTCCAGACAAGCTGGTTAGCAGGGATTTTGTAATCCCCCTCCTCCCACTCAAGTGGAATAAAAGAATACAGTAGAAAGAGAAGTTAGGAAAGCTGAGTTCATTTACCTCATTTTAGCCTGTTTCCTCATCTATAAGTTTAGGATTTTAATATTTGTACTACTTAAGCCCCAGAGTTGTTTTGCGAATCTAATGAGATCATTTTTGCAAATGTCTTGAAAACTTTTAAGTGCTCTATGAGGTTTCCAGGTATCAATAATGATGATGATAATGATAACAAAAAAGGAATGGCTAAATAGAGAGGTTTTAGTACAAATTTCCTATGCCTCTTTGGATTTATATAATTCAGCTTTTTAATTAAAATTGAATTCCTGCTTTTAATATTTTCTCATGTGCATGTGGGCTCTGTTGGCATCAACAGGTTCACCAATGTTGGTGGAGGGTGAAGGGGGCCGCTGTTGCATCAGCCTACTCTATGTCTTATCTTCTCTCCTTCTCAGCGGCCTAGAGAAAGGGATATCTCCTAGGTGATGTCTTGAGCAAAAATTCTTGTCTCTTGTGGGTGAACAGGCAAGTGGGATTTTGCATGTTTGTTCTAATTTACCCATTGTGACATTCCAAAATGTGCAGTTGCAAACCTTGTGGTAACATTAAGCCTTTATCGTACAGATTCTAAACCACAGGATGAAAAAATCCGTAACCATCAGAGCATATTGGTATCCACTAGACAGATTGAACTTATGATGATTAAAGACAAGTCTGGAAATCTGTTGTGTCAATTGTCATATATTATCCCTCCCATTCTTTCTTTCCCACAACTTAGTTATCATAGTTACTCCTGTGTCCTCAACTCCATTGGAGTGGAAATCTAGTGGATTTCCATGCTCCTCTACTTGGCTAACCTCCCGACATCTCTGTGGCTCACTTCTATTGGCTTTCCACTCTGTCAGGTGTTGGGGTGCCTGCCTATATAGAGCTCTGGTGGTTGTAAACATACGTTAAACTCAACAGTCAGTAGTTGACGGTCAAGGCTGGCTCCTTTGTAGAAAAGCCTGGCTTGTGGTCAGAAAGTCTTTGGGTATTATCACGATTCCAGGCCTAAGTAGTCTAAGGTCAACTGTGTAGCATCTACACCAGGGCAAAATAGCGTTCTTCTCTTCCAAAGGATGTCAACTGGTCTTGCTTTGGGAGATTTATGCTACTTTGATAAAGAGAAAAACAGTTAACTCATTTTTCCAAGGAACAGATTAGAGAGTATAAAATAATATAAAAAGAAATACCAGGTAAGCTCGTTTGCCTTGCAAAGTACCAACCAGTCTAATGTATTTTTGTTTGTTTTTTTCCCCAATTCCATTTGCAGGATGTGTGCGGTATTTGGAGGAACCTATTGTCTGAGCCATGCAGTACAGTGCCTTGTAGTGGACAAAGAATCTGGAAAGTAAGGATAATATAAGTAACCTTCCTCTATTTACACACTGAACACAGGTGAAAAATGCTCAAGTCGATTAAAAAAATGATTCTTCAAAGATCCTCCTTGGTATTAATAACATATCAACCTTGATTAAAAGTAATTTGTGTATAGGTCCTCCAGAACAAGGAAAGTGGGTTCAGAATATAGAAACTAAATTAATTTCCCTGCAATATTACTACAGCTCCTGATCACCCAAGCTTGGAAGACAAATCATTTCAGCTGCCGGGGGGCTGGTGATGAGTGATGTTAGTTTTCCTTGTGGCCTTACCTACTCTAATTGATTTTCATCAGATGACAACAAAGCCCTCTGTTATTGCATTTTTAAAAATGGAGCTCACCTAAAGACTCATCAGATTAATCTCTGCTGATAATGCATGTCACTCCAAGAGAAAAGACTTTAATGAGTTTTTAGGTAGATTGTTGTCATAAACTATGCTGCCCTCTTATCTGAGGATAAATTCTTTTACAACAGTATCAGACCTGCAGGCAAGTTTAGAGTTGAAATGAGAGAAATATGCCTACTGTTTTTTAAACTCTGAACATAATTTGCACTTCTGTATATTATCAGTATTTCTGTTATGCATACTTTTACAACTAAGTTATAAATCATTGAAGATAAGATTATGACATTATCTGAGACTAAATGAAGTATTAATCTAGGTTTGTTTTTTCCAACAGAGTTTGGTCGATACCTTCTTTTTATTGCCATAACCCTTTCTATATATGCCCTACTTTCCTTTGTGACCCATAACAGGTAACCAAAACTGACCGAAAAGAAATGGCCATCTAGCTGGATCGATGCAGTATTTTGTTCCTATATTCCTATATAACATTTCTGTTAGAGGAGAGAAGCAGGTTTCATGGTGTGTTCTTTTTGAGCAAAATTGGTCATTTTGATTATTCCAAGTTTGGATGGCCTAGAGTAGTTTAGTTTGCCTTATCACAGTCATTGCATCGTTCTCTTGGCTTCTGCTTGCTTTGCTTCACCCATTCCTGTGAACCCTACCTGTGCCGCTCTGAGGTTTTCATACTCGTTAGTTCCCAGGGCTACTTGGTGGTTTTAAACTAAAGATCTAAGTTCCAAGATATATGTGTACATATGTGTAGGTGTGTACATGTGTGTGTGTGTATGTGTATGTGTGTATGTATGTATATGTATATATACACACATGTATATATATATAAACACATATATATGTGTGTATAAATAGAATATATAATGCAATATGATATACATAATATATATGAAAGGAACTGATTCAAATATATGACTAAGAGCCAGCAAATAAATGGTAAAACGATATGAAGAGGCAGTTTTCAAGGGAAAAAATCCAAGCTATCAATAATGAATCATATGAAAAAAAAATGCTCCAAATCACTAATAAGTAGAAAAATGCAAATTCTGCCTCATAATTATCAGACTGGTCAAGATGACAAAATATTAAATGACAAATGTTGAAGGGACTGTGGGAAGCCAAGTATGCTAGTAATTATAATGTTGGTGGAGCTGTGAATTGGCCCTGCCATTCCAGAAAGCAATTTAGAACTAGGCCCAGAAGGTTACCAAACTATACATACCCTTTGACCTGGTTATACTACCACTGGGCTTAGACCTCAAAGAAAGCAGAAAAGGTTCTGTACATACAAAATTATTTATAGCAGTTCTTTTCATGGTAGACACAAATTGGATGTGGGAAACTGGGGAGATCTTTGTGAACTGATGCAGAGCCATGTTAGTAGAACTAGAACAATTTATATAATGACAACATTATAGAGAAAAACAACTTTGAAAGCCATTAGAACTCTACTCAATGCCACGTTGGACACTGAGTCCAGAAGACTGAAGATAAAACAGACTGCTCGCCTCTTGCCAGGGAGGTGATGAACTAAAAATGCTGAGAGGAACATATGCTTTCCAACATGACTGATGTAGGGATTTGTTTTGCCAGACTGTGTCATTGTGTGTTGAGGGACTTCGTTTTCTGGGTTTGTTTGTTTTAAAGTTTGCTCAGTTGGGATGGTGGTAGTGGGAAGGACTGATTAATTTTTAAAATACTCATTAAAAGATTTTCATTACTATCTCAGTGGCTGTTAGGAGTGACTTCACAGTTAACATTGCTATTGCCCTGTTAAGCAGCAAGTGACATATATCTCAGATGATTGTTTTAGGGGGATTGTAAAGAAAAGTTATCAGATTATACAGTACTTGACTATCTTGTTGAAATGAAGGTTCTGTGTTATAACTTTTTAAGCTATTTTGTACATTTTCCAGTAATTTTGTATACTTTAATAACTTTAAAACATTTTTATTAATTTCCAGTAAACTAGTTTATAGTCCAGGGACCAGTATTTTGGAGACTTAGGAAGGAAAAAACATGACCCTATTCTGAAAACTCTTACACTTGGGTTTTCTTTATAAAAAAATATTTTATGATGTAAGTTAAAATTGACATATTGGTTTAAAGATTTATAAGGTACATTTTGTACCCTAAAATGTACAAAAGAAAGGTGCTTCCTCAATTTAAAATAATAACACACATTGAAATATCTATGCCTAAGGGCCATACTTATTCCTAACATGACTCATAAGCAGCTCCAAGGAGGCGTAGGAAGAAATAGTTGTCTCTGTGACATTTTTTCTTGGTACATACAATTGCCATTGTGGAGAGACCAGAGATCAATCACTTACTTGGGCATTTGTTTGCCTGTACCCTTTTCTGGGCTCAGTTCCAAACTTGCACGTAACTCTCAGGCACATGAACAATTTGTGCGACCAATTTTATTGTTTAATTTAATAAGTTTTATTTTATCTCTTAATTTAATAAGTTTTATTGATGTCTTTTCTTTGTACGTAAGTTATTCCTGAATATTCCCCATCCCTGGTTAACCCTCTCATTATAGCAAAGAAAAGCAGTCATCCAAAAAGAATCAATAACTTGACTGCATCTGACAATGTATGGAACATTTTGCCCTCATAGTCCCCCACCCTTCTGCCAAGAGGAGAGGTAGTATGTTTGTATGACTGGCTACTTCAGCCATCCACTTTGGCTTCTTTTGGTGTTCTTTTTATTATTTTATTGTAGCCACTGTATATTGTTAGCCTGATTCTGTTTATTTCACTATGCATCAGTTCATGGAAATCTTCCCAGGTTTCCCCAGATTCCTCATGTTCATTATTCCTTATTGCACAAAGGTATTTCATTACATTCACGTCCAGCCCTTTGTTCAGCCACCCCCCAAATAATGACCACCCATTTTGTTTCCCATTGTTTGCTTACCACAGAGAGTGCTGCTGTGACTATTTTGCTGTATGTGGAATTTTTCTTTCTCTCTTTGAACTCCTTGGGCCATATGTCCAGCAGTGTAGGATCTGCTGGGTCAAAATATATGAAAAATTTAACCATTTTTCTTCCATAATTCCAAATAGTTTTCTAGAACAGTTGGATCACTTCACAGCTCCATCAATACTGTGTCTGCCTGTTTTTCCACAGTGTCCCCCTGCCCCCACACTGATTTTTTTATTTTGGACATCTTGGCCAATTTACTGTGTGTAAGATAAAACCTAATTTGCATTTCTCCTATTAGTGATTTTGAGCTTGTTTTCATATGGCTGTTAGTAACTTATGCTTCTTTAAAAACTGTTCATGCTCTTTGACCTCTTAAGGAATAGTTTCTGGCCATTTGTCTTTATGTTGCCTGAATCAAGATTTTTCTTAATGAAATTTGGTGCAAAGATTTTTCTCTTGATCACTAGTTTATTTCCTTATATGTATATTGATTTTGTTCATGTGCTCCATATTTTTAGAAGCCTGGTTATCCTACTGCAGTCCTGTACTTGCCTTCAAGTCAGCCTTCATTTTGGCCTTTGCTCAGTTACACTGTCAGAGGAACTTCTCTCCGCCAATTATGGATACAACAGACAGCTGAGAGTGAGAATGTTTCTAAAGAAGGCCTATAGAACCTCTAGAACCTAAAGCTGTGGATTTAGAATCCAATCCTGTATCCCAGGGTAGACTAGAGACTATAGGCCTTGGTTATTCATTACATGGCATTACAAAAATGAACCTGGCAGGTCTTCTAAGAGCCTCAGGTATTAACTCTAATGATAAATGAAATTGTTGCTATTCATTATGGGGTACTTGCATATTTATTAATTTATTTATATTTTACATATTAAAAACAACGGTGGTTGCCCATTACTTCTAAAATGAAATAAAACATCTCCCCTGTCATTTAAAATCCTTCACAATCTGGGCCCAGCCTTCCTTTCTGCCGCATAACATATTATTCCCCTACACGTACTCTGTAGTCCAGCCAAACTAGCCGACTTGTTGCTCCTCACAACATTCCATTACCCACTTTCATGGCTTTACAAAGGCTGCTGCCCCCCATCCTGGGGATGCATTCCTTCCTCACCTTCACCTCCTAGAATCCCTAACTTCCTCCAAATCTCACCTGGATGAGCACCTCCTGCAAGACCTCTCCAGGTGGTTCCCCGTTTGAACTTAGCTTCAAATTGCCTCATACATATTTTGTGTTTACCTCTCTGAGTATTTACCTCTGCCTCCTGCCCCTGTCTAGGATGTCAGCTCCTTACTGATACGTAAGGGCAGGGACTGTTGAATTTTTGGTTGTCTATAGTCTGAGTGCCTACCACAGTTCTTGGTATATAGCAGGTATTTAATATCATAAATGCTTCTTGATAGTTCACATTGTGTGGCAGAGTGCCTAAATGCAAAAATAGTATAAGCCAACTAAGTGCTTAGAAAGTTCTTTATTCCCCCCTCCCCAATGTTGAGCAATCTAACCAGCTTAAAGTCTTGAGCACATCTCCCAGGTAACCAACTTTGCAGGTACTTTAAACTGAAATTTGCAAGTGTTTATCAGTTTGTTTAAGCATCTGAAGCAAAAGAATACTTTTTAATTCTATTCCATTGACTGCCTCTTTCTCCCTGCCCTCCTTAGCA